AAGAAACTACCAGCAAATGAAAAAACATTACAATAAAAAGGAAAAATATTTTCACCTAACGCATCTGACAGTCCTGCGCCTGCATCTACACAAGTGAGAGGTGGCCAGCTCTGTCACCTGATAATGAATGTGCTTATCGTGTGTTATGACCCCAAAGCCCAGGACCCTCCCTGAGCTCCTCTGTCCCAGCCTCCAGCCAGAGCCTGCTATATGGCAGGACACATGCAAACAGGGCCATCCCCTGCTGCTGAAAATAGCCCAGCCCGGCCCTGCGGCTCTGCACAGGAGCCCAGCCGGGATCCAGGGTCCACTCAGGTCAAGACAGATGTGGACACTCACCATGGAGCATGGGCTGAGCTGGCTGCTCCTCCTGGCTCTTCTAGGGGGTCAGTGCTGGCGACCAGGAGACCCTGAGGAGGGGGAAGTGGTGGCCGAGAGCCCGTGTCCTGATGGGTTGTGTCTGTGTTTGCGGTGTCCAGTGTGCGAAGAAGCTGGTGGAGTCTGGGGGAGACTTGATGCAGCCTGGAGGGTCTCTCAGACTCTCCTGTGCAGCCTCCGCATTCACTTTCAGCAATTATGCCATGAGCTGGGTCCACCAGGCCCCAGGGAAGGGCTTTCAGTGGGTTGCAGGCATCAGTAGCAATGGTGGTAGCACAAACTACGCGGACTCCGTGAAGGGCCAATTCACCATCTCCAGAGACAACGGCAAGAACTCGCTGTATCTGCAGATGAACAGCCTGAAGCCCGAGGACACGGCCTTGTATTACTGTGTGACAGGCACAGTGAGGGGAGCGGGTGTGAGCCCAGACACAAACCCTGCAGGACAGGAGGGGGCTGGGCAGGTCCACTGGGGTGTGGTCAGGACCCAGGGGCCCTGGACAGGAGGAGGCCCAGGAGGCTCAGAGCACAGAGCACAGCCAGGAGCAGGTGCAGGGTGGGGCAGGGGCCTCCTGCCTGGGGCTCCCTCTGCAAGGCCTCAGCTCCCCAGGAGCCACTGCTCCTCTCTCACAGGCTCCCACCCACCCCCACATTCCTGGGGAGCCCCAAGGAGGAGGAGACTCTGTGTGTTCACAGATGAGATCCCTGTGTTGCCGTCTGCAATTGCACGTGGGATGAGGAAGTAACTGTGGAGCACATGGTCATGACAGCCTGGGGGCCGGGCTTCGGGTGAAGTAGAAACATCTTAGAAACACACTGTTGCCCAGCTGTGCCAGAAAATAACTCCTGGGATCAGATGTGGCCTGTTGCTCTGAGGGTGACAGCGGCCCCTGAGGCAGGCTCTCAGCCAGCCTGTGGGAAACTGGAGGGGCGACCCCCCAGCACATGTGACATGGTCGTCACCAAGATTAAAAACTAAAAAGTATGTTTGTCACCTAGGACAGTTCCTAGATGCCATGAAAGCTCATGCATCTGCTAGGAATCCTGCGCTTGCAGGTCCTGTACATTCATTTAAACCAGGTCATCGGGTTCTGCTGAAAACCTAGAGAAAAGGAACACCAGAGGGTCAGCTCGCTGAATGGCGGGCGGGGACCGGACTCCTGCCGACCCCGAGCACAGCAAGCCTGCTGGAGTGGAGCCTCGGACACGCTGGCCAGAAAGCAGGCGCCCGCGGCCCTGGCCATCCCAGAGAGGGGCTAATGCTGACGAGAACGACGAGTGTTTCTGCTTGTCCTAGTAAGGCGCCCTTCATCTCTCAGGGGAACACTGTACCACTCAGACAGGATGAAAACGTCTGGGTGTCTCTGGCACCAAATGTCCGGCATAGCTCCGACTTCTGCCTGTGGGGGGCTTATGTTGAGCAGAGCTTGCCGCGTGCCATGGTGGTGTGCACACCCCTGGCCCCTCGAGTCTGCAGACTTACACTGTGCTTCAGCATTTGGACAAGCCTGTGTCTTGCCTTGGCGTCTGTCACTGGGGGCCTCCATTAACAAAAAAGGCAGGGAAGTGTCCACTTTACAACTGGCAAAAGTCTCCCCTGCTGACTGTGGGGAGCGACATGGCCCGCGCCGCCACCCGCTGTGTGCTCCTCAGAGGCCTGTGTCCCGTGCAGTGGGACAGCTCCTGCTGGGCTGGAGGTGGCCGCCACTTTGTCCCCACAAACAGCCCCGAGGGCCCTGCAGCCGGGGTGGGGGTCACCGTGTCCCTGCGCAGAAGTGCAGGTAACTCAGGGAACAAGACAGCAAAGGGCAGCCTCCCTCCAGCAGCGCTGAGGACCTGCGCCCGCCACCAGCGTCCTCAAATGGAGACACAGAACTCCCGGCGTGTGGCGCAGTGAACAGCCTGGCTGAAACACCACAAGCTGCGGGGCCACAGGGCGAGAGCTGGACCTGGTCAGGGCCGCCGCCCTGGAGAATCGGGCAACACTAGACAATTGATGAGACATAACCAGGGATGTAAGAAAAAAAACAGAGGACTGTGTTGTCTTCAACTGACTGACACTCAACGTACTGGCAGAAAGTTAAGACAATTCATGCTAGTGTCTCAGACATGAAACTTCAGGAGGGCTTCTTGAGCCGTGGTCTAGCTCACACCCCTGGGCTCCAGAGTGGCTGGCCAGAGGGGCCTTTCTGAGCTTTATGCCTGCGCGCCTTGGGCATCACGGCCCAGTGCTGTGCGCGCAGCTTCCCCGCACGCTCCCACCTGCGTAAGGAGTTCGTGGCTCAAGAAGCTGCCACCACAGTGACCACACCCGATGTGTAGGCACAGACGCGGAAGGCAGCGGTTTCGCCTGAGGCAGGGTGCCGGAGAGGGGGCGAGGAGATGGGTGAGACAGGAGCTGCACCCTCCTTGTTTGCGGCATGACTGCTCCGAGTTGAGTCCCCAGCCTGAGGATACTCTGGAGGTTGCGGGGAGCCGGGGAGGTCACCAGCCTCAGCAAATGGGACAGTGAGGCCAGGAGGGCGATAAGGGCGCCGGGTGGACACCACCAACTCCTGGCGGCAGTGAAGAGCTGAACATTGTCCAACTCGCTATTTAAAAGGTAGCTGGAAATGAGAAGTTTGGGCAGTTTCGCTAGGGTGGTAAGCTGCAGCTCCCAGATCCGGACAGTGTGATTAAAACCCACCTTAAAGACTCCATGCCTGCCTCCACTTTGGGCGTGAGGGGCCAACAGCTCTGGCTTCCCCTTTACGATTCCTGGCAGATACGGAGACTGACCAGAAGCAGAGGCCTTCAGCAGCACGGCCTCACTCAGCTCAGATCTGAAGGAGCACGAGGAAGACCCGTCAGGGCGGGCAAGGGGGGTTGGTTTGGGGCTGGGGGAGGATAAGGATGTGCAGGGATCACCCTGTTACAGACACAGCACCTCAGGGGGAGCGGCCGCAGCAGGGCTGGGCTCTTCCTGAGGCTCCACCAGGAGTCACTTGTGGCAGGTGCTCCCCAGGGCCCTTTATGTAACTGCGCACTTTCTGGATCGTGGAGTGGACCAACCAGGGGGGAGCCATGAGCTGATTGGGGCTAAAGGGTCCAATCAGCCACAGGGATGAAACGGCCCGATCAGACTTTGGGGCGGGGCACCCTGAGAGAGGATATAAGACAGGGCCTGGGGGCGTGAACAGGAGACAGTTCCAGCCTCTGAAAAAGGAAGGACCAGAAGCTGAGAGGGGGAAAGACCCAGAATAACCTCCTGGCGTCGGACAGGGAGAGGAGCCCAGGGCCTCGGCAGGGTCAGTGCCTCCTTCCTGCTGTCCACTCCCTGAAGGGAGCCCAATGCCCCGGCTGGCGTCGCCAGCAGTTCACAGAGCTGTGGACACTGTGTGTCCTGACACGGCCACTGGGGGCCAGTGTGGACCATCCCCGTTGGCCAGTGCTGCCCAGATCCTGGTGACTGGTGGTGACCATCACTGACCTACCAGGTAAGGTAGCCATCACTGTGGCCTCTGTGAACTCTTTGATTCTCTTTCTGTAAACAGAGGAGGGTGGCTCTGCTGGAGGGCAAGGTCTCTCGCAGTTGTGCCACAGAGAGAGCCACAGAGGGTGGCCTGCAGTCCTGGTGACGGGCAGTGGCCATGTTACAGGGCAGCCCAGAGTGGACGTGGGCCGCCTGTCTGTGGGGCCTCACCCGCACGCTCAAAATGTACTTTTCCGCAGGCGCACACAGAAAGGGTCATGGGTTTATTATTGAAAAAAGGGGAAAGGAAAGGGAAGCAACCCAGGGAAAGAGAGAGGGACACAAAGTAGCTGGAATCCTCCACAGCGCGGCTAACGTGGAGCTCCAGTCCCACACCAGCGCTGCCAGCCCCAGTCACCCGGTCAGACAGCAGCTGCTCCAGACCAGAGTGACAGTTGGAAAACCGCTCCCTATTTATCCCCCAAAGCCCCAGAGAGCTGCTCAGCTCCGCCCTGGGGCCTCGCAGTTCTCTCCCTGGTGCTGCTGGGAGTTGTAGCTTCCAGTCACTGGAGTGAGGGGTGGAATCCAGAGAGCTGGAGCAGGGGTGGGGTCCGCAAGGCTCCGCAGAGTTCCTTTAGGACGGCCTTCCCCTCACAATTATTCACTGAGCTGCCTGGGTGAGACAACTGACCACTTCTGACCACTGTGAACTCCTGCTTGTAAAATAAGCCTGCGGTCGGTCCGGTTTGTAGCGAGGGAGAGCCAAGGCGGTGGCCTGTCCCCGGCGCGGTCCCATGTGAGGCTCTGCACGCGGGCCCCGCCGTGGGCGGCTGCGCGCCGACAGCCCTTGGCTCTGCTCTTCGGCCTTTGGGGCTTCTGGCGGCTCCGTCTTCACCCGCGAAGGCGGCCGATCGTCGCGTCCACCTTTCACCCGGCGTCCCGCCCTGTACCCCGGCATGCCCTGTTTCAGTCTGTCCTGCGCTGTTTTGCCCAAAGGCAGGGCCCTGGAGCAACATGACACCCCCAGCTGAGTGAAGCGCCCGCTGCCACGCCCCTGACTGTTACCTAACGCCGTGGCCTGCCCAGAGCAGGGCCTGTGGCCGCAGTGTCCCGTGGGCACACTGGCTCAGCACCCCTGTCTCCAGTCTCGCTGGCGCATGGCCCCGAGCAGGGACCCCAGGCTGGCCACGGGCCCGGCCGCCCTCAGGGCCGCCCGCCTGCTGCTGGGGCTCTGCGGGCTCTGGGCGGTGCTGGCCCCCGGCCAGGGCTCCCAGGGCCGCCCCTCCTGGCGCTACGTGTCCTCCGAGGTGGTGGTTCCCAGGAAGGAGCTGGGCCGTGGCAAAGGCGTCCGCGCGCCGGGCTGGCTCTCCTACAGCCTGCGCTTCGGGGGCCACAGGCACGTGCTCCACATGCGGCGCAAGAGGCTGGTGTGGCCCCGACACCTGCTGCTGCTGACCCAGGACGACCAGGGGGCCCTGCAGACCGACGCCCCTTTCATCCCCTCGGACTGCTACTACCTGGGCTACCTGGAGGACGTCCCGCTCTCCATGGCCACCGTGGACACCTGCTACGGCGGCCTGCAAGGCGTCATGAAGCTGGACGACCTTGCCTACGAAGTCAAGCCGCTCAGGGGCTCCCCGACGTTTGAGCACGTCGTTTCTCAGATCGTGGCGGACGCCAACGCCACGGGGCCCACGTACCGACTCGGGGAGGAGGAGGCCGTCGCCCCCCAGCTGGCCCAGCCACTTATCCCCGCGGGCCCCCGGCTGTCCAGTAAGATCTACGCGTCCCACACGGCTCACATAAAAGGGCTGCTCTTGAGCTCCAAGTCCATGTTCGATGTAAAAAACAATGTTTCTGAGACTGCCCAGTTCCTGGTGCAGATGGGCAGTCTGATGGACACGATGCTGCAGGGCGTGGACGTCCGCTACCACATCACCAGCCTCATCATAT